TTATTATTTTACATGACAAAATTCACATAATATTTTGTCATATGTTATAATATTTAATAATATATAGTAATATTTAGTAATATATAATAATATTTTGTAACATATTGTAATATTCTGCAATATATTGTAATAAGATGTAACATATTGTAAAGAACTATATCATGCATAATAAAATAATTAGTTATATAATGAAAAGTTTTACCTCTCAAATAAATCATTAATTAATCACTATAAAATCTAGCTAGTCAATAAACTGTTTCTTGTTTATTATTATATATTAATTGATTTTAATAAATAAATTTATACTATAATATTTGTATTAATTGTGCACTATTAAATATTAATTAAAGTTGCTAAAGAATATTAGTACTATATTGCTTTAGAACTGTCTTACATCAAATAGATATTATAATCTATTGGTAATAGTGGTAGTCTATCTTAAAGATAGAAGAAGATATATAGTGCAGTGATCCTGAAATAACTGAAGTTATCAAGATCAAATACAAGAAGAAATTGAGTTAGATATTGATTGAAAATCTATATTATAATAATATCTATCAGGAGCCCAATTGTAATATTGTCTTCAAGTCCAGATCTAAATTCTATCAAAACCTATGGGTAATTGTTAAATATAAAGTAGAAAAATGAATGTCACAAAATTTAAATGAATTAGAACAATTTATAATGAAGGAATGGAATTTATTGCCAAATGATACATTAAAAATTTAATAAATTCAATGCCACACTGTTACAATTAATTATTAAAAATAAAAATAAAAAAATCATGTATTAAATTTGTAATAATAAAATTTACTGTTTTTGAGCTTTCAAACAATAGCTTGATTATATGTTTTAATGCAATCTGTGTGAAATTGTAATAATATGTTCTAAATTAAGTTTTTTTGTTACTGACTATATATGTTGTCAGGAATTGCATGTAAAATTTGATGACTGATATGAATTTGTGCAAGTTGTTTTTGTATATTAACAAGAATTCAAATGTTTCCTTTGCAATTATAATATATTTTTGATAATGTATCTCGATGTTTGGATGAGTTTTGATATTTATTTGGTAATTTGATTGTGCATAAACTTTGTAAACATATATAAAAATAACTTATTTTTTCTTGTTTAGATGTATATGATTTGTGAAATCTTAATAAATAGAATAAATTAAAATACTTACGACCAGTTATAATTATCACCATTAGAGATTTTATCAACCAAAATATCTGAAATAGATTTAAAATCTTTATCGAATTCTGAAATATCAATCCAGCACGAAAATAAAAATTTGACATTATTTTCTTTATCCGTATTTGATAATATAATTGCTAATAATATTTGTTGTGCAAGAAAATCAAAAGTTATTTTTTCTAGCTCAATTTTTTCTATATTTTCTTTTTCTTTTTGATTTTTTACAATTAAACGACTTTTTTCTTTTTGTGTTTTATTTTTTTCGCGACATGCTTTACAGGTAGAATACTTAGTCAACTTCAAATAGCTTATAAATTTTACATCCTGAACATTGTTTTTTAATAAAATTATTCAGTACGTAATTATTATCATTAACAGACCTTTATTATGTACGTAGTGTGTATTGGTATAGTATCACGCTATATTGAAAATTCTAAGGTAATAGAGATTATTATTAATGTTAAAGATTAGAATTAGGATTAGAGCTAAAATCAAGATTATATGCAAAATTGCCTTTTCGACATTTTTTATTAGTGTACAAAGCTCAAATTTTGATATTTGTTTTTACATTTTTTGTTTTTTATTTCCTGTATAAAACTACATGTATTTAATTATCCAGACGAGGATGCATACTTGACAAATAGCATTTAAACATTGAATCTATGCACTCTTTACACAACTAGGATCACTTTTATATATAGTACATGTATAGTCGTTACTTGTTATAGTTATTATGCATATATGCGTATACGTATATAGCAATAGTATAATTTGTTGCGTTATTCTAACGCTACGTAATACTCAGTAGTACAGAATACAAATGTGTAAGACGTTTTATCGTAGGACTCGGGGGTAATGTAATATAAATCATATGACATATGTAGATCAATTCCGATCTCCGATAATAAACTACAATAACGTGAGCGGAGAAAGAGATTAGCATTATTATATCGAGATGTGCTCTATCGAAAAAATAAATATTATGAAAGCTTATTACAGTAATGAGAAGCGCTCACTGTATATAATAAACTATTTTTATCATGAATTTTTCTACTACTGTCACATTAGAAATAAAATAATAAAAAGGCTGTGACTCAGTTAGGAGTTAGACTGAATGATTTATGCAATAGAGGTCTCTTGTGGCAGCTTGTACGCAAACAGACCAACGTAATAACAAGAATTAAAAAGGTTCAATTAACAATAACAACCGAAGGGCTTATTGAGATTGCCTTCAAGAAAAATTAAAACATGAAATAAAATAAAATAAAACGTCGGGTCTTATTGAGACTGCCCAAATTTTAAAAACATCAAAATCAATCGTCGATGATAATGCACAGGTCTTATTGATATGGCTTGTTAAATGGTTAATAATCAAATCAGTTCACAGTTTAATCAAGTTCAAATGTATGGCTTATTTAGAGTAGAGGTCTTCTACTGTAAAGTTTGTACGCAAAATTCTGAAGTCAATCAAAGCAAATAAGTGAAGATGCTTTATTAACAATTTTTATCAATTTGATATGAGCTTCTTTTTTTTGTTTCAATCTGAAAAAAGAATATATATCGTAAAGTTAATAAATATTTAACTACTAAAAGAATAACTATAAAAATGGAACTCAAATAACCGAAAAATGTCATGACAATCATATTCACAACCAACTACCGCATTTTTAGACGATAACATGTTAGTCATGATTTTCCGAATAAAGAATATTATAACGAATTCTACGACACTACAATCACACTCGTTACATGATACCATATCCCGAATTAAGAATATTATAACTAATTCTACAACAGTACTCCATGGAATAAATAAAATTATATCGATATAGTAATGGCTCTCCATGAAATTTGAGTAGGCAAGATTATTGGATAGGAAACTTAACGTTATTAAATGCATGCACATGTCATAAGTTGGAATAGAATGCCATGTTGATTCGGAATCAACCTAGATTAATTCATAATTTGTTAATATTCGGTTTGGGTTAGGATTAGAGTTAGGGTTATGTCAACCTGGGGATTTTAAAATCCCTAATTTGATATCTAATTCCAAAATCAACCTATATAGGTTGATTCCGAATCAACACAGATTCTATTCCAACTTACAGTGGCCTGCAAAAATAACGCCACTCGCATTGTCGATCTTTAATAAAAAACGAACAGGCAATTATCGTTATTATTCCCAATCATCTGTAATAATTGTTAATCCGCATTAACCCGGTGCGTTTTTTTTGCCGGTTTTTGAACAGGACATTTTTTCGTTTAAAATTTGATTGAAAATAATAGTTATCAAATAAAAAACATTACTTTTACCATCTCGTATAACCCCTCTGAGCTTCAATTACATCGTTAATTCTTTTTGGCATAGTATCGGTATTGATTAAATCAATACAATAATCAATATCAATATTATCCCACACCTGTTCTATTTTTTCCCGCAGCTCATCCTTATTTGAAATAATACCCGGAAGTTCACGAAGACGAAGATCTACTTCTCGCCAAAGATGTTCAATCGGATTTAGGTCAGGTGATTGTGGTTGCCAGCTTAAGACGGTTATATTATTATTAGCGAACCATTTTAACGCATCACCCACGGTGTGTTTAGGATCATTATCCTGTTGAAAAATAAATTCATTGAGTTTTAAATTAATAAATCTAGCGTTAATAAGAATTCATCTGAAAGAATTTGTCGATAATATTTGCCATTCATCGTTCCAACTATCTTACGCAGATATCCCGTACCCTGAATGCCAAAACACCCACCATATCATTATACTACCGCCACCAAACTTCATTGTAGGTTGAACATGCGAGCTTTTTAACGGGTCGTTCGGTCTTTTCGAGTAATATTGACGTCCATCGGATCCAAATATTTGAAATTTGGATTCATCAGACCATATTACTCTGAACCAATCATCGAGTTTCCAGTTCTTATATTTGTTTGCGAAGTCGAGTCGTTTTTGACGATGTATATCTGATAGATATGGTTTTTTTCGCTTTACTCGTGTCACCAAACCACTACTATGTAATGCTCTACGTATGGTACTTACATTTACATCTTTTTTTTATGGGTTAATAACGACTTTCTAAGTTGGACTGCATTGGAACATTCATTAGGTAATTCGACGAACAAGTGTTCGTTTATTACGTGTAGAAAGTTTTTGAGGACGACCACAACGAGGCCTATTTTTGACACTTTTGGTTTCTTTGTCTTTTTCTTTAAGTCTTAGTATGGTTGAATGGTGGACATTAAAGCGACGAGCAATTCATGAGCACTATAACCAACGTCAAGTAATGCAATTGCTTGAGCACGTTTTTCTAAGGTAAGTTGCGCCATTTACTTACAGAAGCTTTAAAATAATATATAATTTAAATAATATAAATCTTAAACTTTTTTTTATCATGGTAATTTTTATTTTGTACTTTAAAAAAAAAGTTTTCTTTAGCTTTCTTTACTCACATTAAAAAACGGCGGATTAAGGGGTATTGCAAGAAATTTGGTATAACGATAATAAAATACCCGTTTGTTTATGTTAACTTGAAAAGTATTGTCAGAAGTTGCTTGTGTGGTGGTGCGTTATTTTTGCAGGGCACTGTATGACATACACTGATATCTAATTTTAGTTTATATTTGTTTTTGCGCTTGTATTACATGTTCATGTACTTGTTGATCGGCAAAATTTGTTCATACATGTAATATGTACTGTGGGAAGACATACATAGCGATAGCGATAATAGTGTGGGAAAACACCTTGCATTAACGTTAAACCGTTCTTTCAAAATAAAACTTCAACATATATCTAATGGACGACTTTTCTCTTAAAGAACTGTTCGAAGATTTTACGGGCTCTGAGGATGATGAACAGAAACTGCACGTCTTGATGAAAAGATGTCACACCGCATCGAATTGTGAACTTGAAGACTTCGTCAATGAATTGTCGGAACTTCTGTGCAACTCCTTCGAATCACATATACCTACCTTGAAAGCTTTCCTTTCCCAATTATTGGAAAAATATTCAAAGCGTCCCACTTTGCTAACGAGATATAATGCAGTATTTCAAAATTTTCCATCTCTTTTAACCAACTGTATCATTATGCAGAATCTTCATCAATGTGATTTTCCAGGTTTTAGAGAAATATTTGACTACTGCTTCGAGCTCCTTTGGCGGGCGCAGAACAATAAAATTGCTATTCAGACAACTAAAGACATCTTGATCAAAATCCTGGATTCGGACGGTGTCTTGGGGGTTTTGATATCGGGGTCGCATGGTCGCCATTGCCTTAAACGCATCTTGTTTGAATTAAACATAAATAATAGGATAGATAAGGAAAAGTTACTGAAGGCGGTGGACATGGTTGCTATTATTGTGGAGCAATGTTCTGAGCATGAAGAAGTTTCACCTCGGCTATCTGAGACGCTTTCTATATACAAAGCTTGTAGTACATTGTTAGATAAATTCAGAAGTTACCAGAATGCTGAACGCTCATTGCTACATATTCTATGCGATAACGATGAACCACATTTCACACTATTGGGAATTTCAGCGCCCAAAAAGTCATCAGATATACCTCACTATTTGCATGCGCTTGAACAACAAAAATTAAATTTATTTCAAGTAAGCTTGATTACATTTTTTTTTGTTTGTAAACAATATAATTAATGTCTCTATAATTTCATTTAGTTTTTGATAAAATTTTCGCCCTGTCCAAATTGTCAGAAACAAGCACTCGTTCGTTTTTCCCCCGACAAATACTCTTCGCTCATGGAAGAAGAAGAGCTAACAAGTATTAATAGAACATTCCGCCTTCCGTTTGAGTTTGATGAAGATGATAAACTTGGGCCATGGGACATTTTGATAAGTGAAGACGCAATAAAGGACATGTTATATTTGGAATCACCTCTGAAGATTAAAGCTGTCATGAAAAAACTAGGGAATATATCATCTGGGGCCTGGGAAAAGCACGGACTGAAATATACGGTTCCATTTCTCTCAATTCCTGTTTACGAAACTGAACTCCATGATCACGGCGGCCTAAAAATCTTTTGGCAAGTTGATTATGGGTTTTCTGTCCGTAGCTATCTGCTTACACAGCTTGTGAAAATTTGGGCTGTCACTGCCAACCAAACTCAGATTGATAAGATATTAGAATACCTCAAAATGCTTCATCAAGTCTACACAGATGAGCAAATTTTCCGATGTACTGTTCAACAAATTGGCAGAAACGACATAATTTTACCAAAAATCTTTGGAGATGAAGGAACAAAATCTACTGAGAACAAGTTTTACAGCTCCAAAATGGACGATGAGATGCTGCTAGAGATTCACAAAATGCTTGTTACCAATAAATTCATTCCCTTATCAAAGGTAAAATGGGAATTATATAATATCGATATGATAATTAAAGGTGGAACGCGTTTTAATTGATATAAAATACATGTACATTGTTTGTAGAACTTGTTTAAGTCACTGATAATGGGAGGCGCCGATTTCACTTTTCAAGTATCGAAAGTAGAGTACGAAATCATCAACAATCCCACTTCAGCTATCATAATTGGTCGATCAGGTAAGTAGTTTAGTTTTATCTGTTATAATTAGGAAAAAGCGAAGTCATTTTTGATTTTATTTTTCATAGGTACAGGCAAGACCACATGTATCGTGTATAGACTACTTGCCTCCTACCTCAACGATTCAACTTATCCATTTTATAAGACACCATGCTCTCACAAAAGGCAAATATTCATCACAGTGAGTCGCAATCTATGTCGTCGGGTAAAGGAATATTTCTACAGGCTACGAGAATCGGCAGCACTTGCTAAGACAAAAATGACGATAGCTCAGTTTCATGAGTATGCTAGAAAAAAAGAGGAAGAAGACTGCGGTGCCAATCTAACTGACGATAAAATGGATGAAGAGGGAGATGATGATAAGGATCTAAGTGACATCCCAAACTCATTTTCTCAGCTGACAGAGGATCATTTTCCATTATTTATTACTTACAAAAAGTTCTCTGAAATGCTTGAGGGAACATATGGAATTGATACTCGAAAGTTAATTCAACAATCAAAAGTAGATAGAGACAATGAAGATGCTTATAATGATGAAGAGAAAGAATTTTATCATAAATCCTTCTTTGTTAATACATCATGGGCACACTTTGTGGATTATGATGTTTTTAAAAAAAAGTATTGGAATCGTTTTAATGAGGATAAACTGGACTGCGAGCTGGTCTATTCTGAGTTCTCTATCATTAAGGTAAGTAGTTATATATATAACTTAACCTATTTATATTTTTATATATTTTTCTTAAAATTCCTCAGGGATCGAATCCTGAAGGAGAGTATCTATCAAGAGAGGATTATCAAGTTATCAGTACCAAAAAATATCCTGTATTTTGCCATAACCGGGACAAAATTTACGATTTATTTCAGCGATATGAAAAGCTGAAAGCAATTAATGGTGATTATGACTCAATAGATCGGTAAGTCCTGTGGATTATAATACTATTAATTTTCGATAGAATTCATAAATTATTAAATCTTCAATGGTAGAACACTAGCCATTTTACGTTGTGCCACGAAAAAAGCGCTTGGGAGTCCACACATTCATGAAGTATATATTGACGAATGCCAGGATAATCAGATCGTGGATTTTGGCCTTATATTGAAGATTTTCAATCGCGTTGATAGCATTTTTTTGGCCGGAGATATAGCGCAATGTATAGCCAAGGGCTCTTCTTTCCGATTCCAAGGTATATGCATCGCTCTTATTTTGAAACTGAAAAGTAATGCTCTGCTATTTATTTCTAATACATTTAATATAGACATACGCTCCTTGATGTACAAATGGGAATTTGATCGTATTCAAATTAATAATATCCCTCGTGGTACCATAAAACCAAAACAATTTGAGCTAAATATTAACTACCGTTCTCATAATGGGATCCTTCTACTTGCTTCTTCAATCATTGCTCTCATCCGGACCTTTTTTCCTGAATCAATTGATCATTTATCCGATGAGCGTGGTGAGGTTGGCGGTCCTCGACCTATAGTCTTTAAAGGATCTCAGGCTGAAAATTCGCATTTAAATGCCTTTTCTGCTAGTGAGAATACTGGGAATTATATCGAATTCGGAGCTGAGCAAGTCATTATTGTGCGTAACGAAGAATCTAAATCGCGCGTTAAACAATCAATTGGTGAAAAGGCTGGGTTGGTGATGACTGTGTTTGAGACGAAGGGAATGGAGTTTAACGACGTGCTGCTGTATAATTTCTTTACAGATTCTCCTGGATGCCAAAAGGTAATTTTATGCATTTGCTTTAACATTTACATCAAGTTTTATCAAAAGTTGTTTTGGTTGTATAGTGGCGGGTAATTCTTTCTGAAGTGAAAGACCAGTCTGAGGGAGTTCCAACCTTCTCTCATGAAAAGCATTACATCCTTTCCTCTGAACTTAAACATCTTTACGTCGCAGTTACCAGAGCACGGCAGCACATCTGGATATTTGATGAGAAAAGTGAGTGCATCGAGCCAATTTGCAAATACTGGGAGCAAGATGGATTGGTCAAAGTGGTGCGAAGTGGAGGTAAAATCAACACTCTCCCTACATTGGCCAAGAAGAGTAGTGCAGCAGAATGGAAGCGAAAAGGAAAGAAGTTTTTTGAACTGCGGCAGTATGAACAGGTTAAAACCAATTCCAATATTTGGTATCATTTAATGACATGAGAAAACTAAAAGAAATGAAAATTACCTTCAGGCTATTTTTTGTTTCGAGAAGAGTGGAGATAATGAAATCCTTAAGCTATCTGTGGCCTATCATCTTCAGCAAATAGCAAGAGCCTCTATAAATGATTCCGATTGGAATATTGTGACTTCGAATTTTAATCGTGCTGCTGAAGCATTTCAAAAATGTTCTCGGCCAATACAGTCGGCTTCATGCTATGAGGTATTCTTCCGAATTGAGTACATATAAATATTTTAAATTGACTTATAAATATGAAATATATACAGGATATCAACATGTATGAAAAAGCTGCTAAAGTTTACGTTGAATGGAACATGTTTGAACACGCCGCACGTTGTTATCTTAAGGTTCCTAATTTTGAAAATGCGGGAATGTATTTTGAAAAGTCGAATAAGTACACCGAAGCTGTAGTTGCATATAAAGACGGCCGACGTTATGAAAAAATCATTAATTTGATGCAAAGGTAATAACCCCTTGTTTTGACCAGTCATTCAATGTTGTATAATAATATTTTTTCAAATAAGTCACAAAGAAAACATTGACGAGAAAATATTCAATCGTATGACACGTCTTGTCAATATCCATTACCGCCGGGTGAACGACACAAAAATGAGTGAGAAAGCTCTCTCCATACTTCCAACTCAGGATGAACAAATAAATCTACTTCGAGAACATGCTCCTGAAGAGCTTCAGGAGATTTGCAAGAAGAGTGGTCAATTTCATGTTGCCGCTGAAGACTTACGCTTGCGTGGGAAGTTCAATGAGGCTGCTGATATGTTCCTTTGCTCAGATGACAATAAGGATGATATCATAGAGTCTTTGCGATGCTGTTTGTATCTATGTAGAGTTGAAGCATTGAAAAAGACAATGACAGATTTCGTGAATCTTAATTCCTCTGAAGGGCTCAGTGAGCAACTTTCCAAAGCAATCAATATCATTACAAAAGTGAAATTAGAATCTGAAGAATTAAGTAATTTAAAAGAAGAGCTTCAGCTATATTTAGCTTATATGAATTCGGATCTCAATGAAATCCGCAAATTCATGCAATTGTTTAGAAGGCGTGAAGATTGCGTCACTGAGTTTCGTGCAGTAACCATATCGATATGGCTGCATATCTCCAAATTTGATATTCAGGCCGAGAACTGGCGGGAACTATTACTATGTCTATTGAGATTATGTGAACTGTCCTTTCCCTTTTTAGATCCTCGAGAAAATGAAAATATTGCAAAAATAAACAAGGATTTTCAGGATATTTTTGTTGTAAGCGAAGTTGAGAACCGTCCACAAAAACGAAAAATATCTTCTGAAAATCACCTTGTCCCGTTTTTAAACCAAAATATTGTAGAGGATGCTGTAGAAATCTTGGACAATTGGCATGTGTACGACGAGAGTACTTTGGATTTGGCTATTTCACAATTTCTTGCTTCATATATCTATGAACTTATCCAGGAGGTTGGTCAGATAGGTAGACAAATTCAAGATATAAGTTCTGAAATCTGCTTTAAGTTTTCGTCCTGTCTAAAGCAAGATTGTCGAAGGCATCATGTTATTCCAACACCCTCAATTCTGCGCAAACGTTTCACACTTGCTTGCCTTCAGTACACTGTGATGCAACAATTGGACGTATTTTTATACCGTGACCGTCGCCATCTTCTTAAAGCGGAACAAAGAGAACTAATTCGTGGATCACAAAGGTGGTGGGCTGAAAGACTTGTGAAAATTCATATTCGCTATCAATCTCCTCAAACAAGCTGCCCAGAAGTCACATATGCGGTACTTGCCGAACTTCCTAAGCGCACACGTTATAGATTAATTGTTCTTTCTCACAAGATTTGGTTGCGTGATGTGATTGATAATCCCTCAGATTTTTCAGTTATGTTGAAATGCATTCTTGTTCTTCACCAAATACAGGACTATTGGGGAATCGATATTTTCGATTGGGAAATGTCAAAAAAATTAATACTAAGACACCCTAAGGAATTACCCACTGGATTCGTTCACTACCTTGAAGATTATGAAGCTGTTCCTGTTGGAAATCGACTTTCATTATTCTTCTCAAATCTCTATGATAATCGTGTGTCAGCTGCGATCATGCACATAAGAATATTTATTCAATACACTATCGACAATATTGAACGCATTAATATAAATACGCCCGATGCATTTGCTGACCTTATATCTCTTGTGGAGTTCAAAACATCTTTGGTATTTGCAATCAGTCCTGGATATTGTGATTTTTGCCTTCCTCGGGCTTATTTGGTCAATCATTTTGACGTATTTACAGCAGAGCCACTCATTCCCAATCAACATGGTTACAACAGAGCCTATTATCTGGCTGAAATCAATAATTCCATTAATCAAGTTCAACAGCTTCTCAATTTGCTGATTCTGGTTGGACAATTGTACTTGCCCATTATCCTTAGGTTAATACGGCTCTTGGCTCTCATCGGCCTAAACGAACCCACTTCTTCAACCAGGATCTTTAATCTTTTTAAATACTGGTCCAAACTTCTGAAGAACAAAATCTTTTCTGCAAAGCTCTTAATATACTTGAACGAAAGTTATATGGATCAACTTGCGATCAATCTTCACAATGATCTCAAGGAGACAGATTGTGACTCCTTGGTAATTGTCCATTATCATTGGGGAGGCTTATCAAAATTTTCTAACTTGGAGGAACATGGCATCGTGAAGCTTAAGTATAACTCTGTTGAGCAATTTCATTTTGCTCTTCGACAAATCATATCACCGATAGTTACTGAAGGAAGTGCTTCAAATATCCAAATGAATCAATTGTCGCGGAAACCAGATGACCATCGGCAGCAGAAAATTGTGATTGGTAATGAGGATGATCAGAATAGTGAAATGTCCAAAGAAGCCCAAGAGTCGGCCACAGAAAGTCAAGCTTGGTTTTGCCGAATTCACGATTCCCCACAGGCCAAAGAATCAGCCACCAAAATTCAAGTATGGTTTCGCCGTGCTCTCCAACGACAAGAATCTCGTCAACATGAGTCTGATCAAATTCTAGAAAAGATTTTCAACGAGATGGTGGTTTTTTGTAAGAATGAACTTTACTGGAAGGCTGCTGTTGAAAAGAAGGGAAAAAAAAGAGTGAACAAATATCATATTCTATTAAGAGGTCTCGTTGTAAAAAACATTGCGGATCTGACTAAGATGCAAGGAAAAATGTATGCTACAAAGATCAAATTGCAAAAGGCGATCAATAATCACGATTCGGATGATCAAAAAATTGAAATATGTTTGGAATTACTGGACGACTTTAAGTTTGTTTTCTATTTATAGATTTCTTTCTTTTTGACATCAAACTAATTCGATGTTTTTTTTAGATACAAACACTATGAAAATGTTAAGCTGGTGTTAGATTTACTATCAATATCAGAGAACACGACAAAACATCAAGAAGCAAACATCGAGTGGTTGAAAAACGAATCGCAAATGGCTGATAATTTCCTAAATGATGCTTATCATTGGGTTGTTAAATGCAACGATGCCATGAAAAAATGAATTAAATATACTCTTCTGATTCAACAAATTATTTTATTGTATATACTTATAAAAACAAAAAAATAGTCAAAGATCTATCTCTTTAACATATTGATTTATAATAATATTTTTGGCAGGGGAGCGTATATAATATAAGGCATTTCAATAAAAATAAATTTTGCATAATAACAATGAATATTACAACCAAAAATAAATCCTAGATCATAGGCGTTTTTGTACTCATCGACTGATATCTAAAGCCAATAAACGCTTTGTCTGTACCGATACTAATCGTCTAATGAACAAATGACCTAGGTCGTTTCAATGTCATTTGATGTCATTTACCACTGGTTACAACTGAAATGTAATGATAAAATAAAAGAAATGTTCTTTCACAAGGATAATTTACAGTGGCTCACACAAAAAATGGAACACGCGATCAAAATTTTCTAGAATTTTATCTCAGCTGATTAGTAAATTTTGACCTGCAGAACTTTTTTTTCTAAGATAAACCCGAATTTAGCCTCCACTAATTAAAAAATCTACATATCAATTTCCATAAAAATTCAAGATCTCGAGAAATTTTGAGCCGATTTTATGAAATTGGTAATATGTATAATTAGTGGTCCAAATTAAAGATTTGTCTTCTGTTCAATCCAGTGATGGTAAATGACCAGGTAATTTGTCATGTGATTTAATTTTCAACCAATAAGTTTTGTGAGTCATTTTATTCATCTTTATAATGACGCTACAATGTTTAATTTTATGGTGCATAATATCTAAAGTCATCAAACGTTTGTATTTTACAAAATGTATAAACATCTTTACAAAGAAGCAAATACAAAATTTAATCCGTGAATATGATAGAATAGGCCCTTTCTGAGCATATTCACGGATTAAATTTTATATTTACTTCTTAGTAAAGATGTTTATACATTTTATAAAACACAAACGTTTGATGACTTTAGATGTTATGCACCATAGTAACCCGAAAACTGTATAAATAGAAGAAGTGTAATGAGTCTGTGAAAGACATGCTTTGATCAAATAAACTAACAAAGTTCTTACCTGTAATAATAATATCACTTGTGAATACACTATTATTTTATTATCCTGGTCATCATCAAATCTTGTGAGTAATTGCAAGTAGTGGATGCTCTTCCACTCTAAATAAGCCGTCAATTGAGTTTTCGTTATTGTTGGTTTGATTTTATTTTTTTTTGTCCAGGCCGCATCAATAAGTCCTGTTGAATTGTTTTGCTGAATAGGCCGTATCAATAAGTCATATTGTGTTGTGATTGTTAGTTTGATTTTGGAAAATTCCCTTTTTCTTTATCATAATATTATTATTTTCGCCCCCCTTTTACCTTTTAACGTCGATTTGCGTACAAGTCGCCGAAGGAAGCCTTTAGAACGCCAAAGAGACCCTTTGTCCGTAGATAATTCAGTTTAGCTCTCATCCCGATTGCGTAAAAACCTCTCTTCTACAAATCAAAATAGTAACACGCAACAATACAAGCTATTTTCAAAAATAAGCGTTTTTCAATTTTTTGCATGGTCGGCATCGGGATCGGAATCACATGACCCGACACTTTTTTTCGCCATGGCTAGGGTACTAGGTTTATTGGATAAAAGAAGATTGTAAGATCACTTTGACTTTTTGAAATGACCAGTTAGTCATTCGACCTTTTAAAAATGACCGGTCATTGGTCATTTGTCATCGGAGTCATTTGGGTCACTTAAAGTCATTTACCATCACTGGTTCAATGCGAGAAATTTACTAATTGAAAAATTTTAATTTAATCACTCAATTTCACAAATGGTTAAAACAATCTGTTGTTAAAAATATTTTCTTTGTATTAATATTAGATAAAAATTCTAGAAAATTTTTCTCACGTGTTCTATTTCTTGTGTGAGTCACTGTATCTCTACTTCAGCAATCAAGTGTTTAAAAACATCTGAATTTGATTATAGGTAATTTCTTTGTTAAACAATTTATAACAAAACATTTACAATTAAATGGTGTATACCATGTAAATTTTATATTGATTGCTTTATATAACGTCTATACGTGATTTTAGGCTTGAATTTCACCCTATAAAAAAAAGCAGGTACGTAAAATAAATGGAAATCGCAAGGAAGGATATGTAGACACGTAAAACACGATAACTTCTGTATACATAAGCACATTTCGGTCCATTTTTTTGACACGAAACTGCACGGAATGACAATTTCGTGTCATTTCCGTGTTAAAAACTGTCCCCGAAACAAAAACTGTACCCGAAACGTGTTTACGTATACGGAATTTGTCGCATTTACGTGCCTTTCTTGTAGTGGGTCGGGTCCAATCTGTGACTAATGATACTTGACGATGACGAAACGTTTCGTCACGTCAATTTGACGAAACCTTTCGTCACGACCATTTTGAAAATGTCTGTGGCGAATGACGAAACCTGTGACGAATGGCGAAAC